GGGGGGGGGGGGGATTATTATTCTACAGCTGGAAATAATTGAAAAAAAGTAGCAAAACATGGAATCCTAACAATTGACGATAATTCTTCAACAAATCAGATTGAGATTCAACAAGAGCAGTTTTCGATAAACTCGAACTTTTTTTGGTTATTTTTGAACACGCTGAAAAGATCTCTTATTCATTTTTTAGACAAAAGTTCGTGCTGCCCAATTTGTATTATAAAAAGTTAAGCTAACTAAGCTTCTAAAATATATATATATATATATATATATATATTATTCAATTATAAAACATTTTCTATGTATTTTCCTAATTGCTTTCTTAATAAAATCTCATTTATCCCAAATTAAATTCTACGAAATCGTTATTAACTTGAAAGGAAAATAAAGTGTCTTAATAGCTAGGGCTGGGCACTTTCTGAAATTCGTTCGTTAACGATTAGCTAAGCTAACGTAACGTTTTGGCCCAAGTAACTGATCGTTTTTAACCGATAACTTAACTATTCTTCCGTTCACTATCGCAGCATTTCCCACTATTTTTTATAATTTCCGTGTTCGTTAATAGAACTTTTTCCATCCCCACTACCGTTTAATGAAAGGTTAAATTCCCAAAACGAAATCATACTTTCGTTTTTTATTGACGTTTCTTTCTGTTTGTTTTCAACTTAACGGTTCTTTCCGTTCGTTAACGGAATTTTCTATAAATTTTCAAAACTTCAATTGATTCGTTTCAAATTCTTAATTAATAAAATTCCTTATAAAATATAAAATCAATAAAATTCACCATTTGTAATGGTTGACTTGATGCAAAATGAAGAGTTGCGAGTAAAGTTAAATTAAACCTAAATAAAAGTATGTTTTAATAAAAACACTAAAATAACGAAAATTTCATTTTAAAAAAAGAAGAAACTGGATTTTAATTTACGCTGAGTTCTCAGAGTTCTCGCATTCAAATATTTTAATTAAACTTTTCTTTTTCATTTCACTATCAATGTTGAATTCATGGTTACAATTTATTTAATATCTAACTCTAAGGTTTACACAGTATTTCATTATTAAATAACAACGTCAGTGACGTCACACTCACAGCGATACACAGTACATGCTGTACACAGTATATAGGAAATCATTATAATCAAGGTAATAAAGCAAGGAAAGTCAATTGCTGTTGCGTATTCTCTGCGTACATATTGAAACCAGTTCTCTCTGGGCGGTGTTAGGGTGCTGTGAAAAGACCTCACCACGGAAATGCCTAAAAAAACGGACTCATAAAACAAATTCAATGTCGTTTTCTCTCATTTAAAAAAAATCAAATTTTTTTAAAAATTATTTATAGCATTAATTTTGGAAAGGTTAGGTTGCGCTGTAGGCTACGGAGGGGGGCCAAGCGCTGCGGCTAGGACGCGCTAGGGAGCCGAGCGCTGGGGCTACGACAGGCTAGGGGGCCGAGCATTGCGGCCATGGCTGTAAAAATCATTAGCACATGGTTTTTTTTATTTTAGGATGAGAGAAGACATTAAATTAGTTTTATGAGTCCCTTTATTGAGGCATTTCCGTGGTGAGACTTTTCTGTGGCGAGGCCTTTCCATAGCACCTGGTGTTTGTAAGCAAGAATAGATGCATCAGTGTTCCTCTATTATAGTATCTGAGGAGGATAAAAGCATTTAATTTTGAAAATATTAATAATTGACATATAATAGTTTCCTTTGACCAGAATATGGATCCCATGTCAGGCTGTGACATCGGTCTTGTGCGACTGGGTTTCTCATGCCAGACCAGCGCCATTTCCCTTCCTTTTATTCCTATTCCCTGTGCTTACTTTACAGCCCAGAGATAGTACACTGCAGTACTAAAAATGCGTACACCTCTGAAATAACTATCTTTATATTATAATTCGTTGATCATAATACCAAATCAAATCATAAATGTTATGTATAGTTTCGTTTAGGTTTAAGTACAGGCAAGCTGCCTATAATGACCTTGCCTTTTATTTGGAGTAAAAATTACAGCAATTAGCCAATTGCAACTTAAAGAGACTATAGACGTAATTTCAAGTAACCCTCCAATTATTCTCAAAGTTATTCTTAAAAGCATTGTTTGATCAAAAATCAATTAAAACATCTATGTTTAATCTTTTTGTAAACTTATTATTTTCCATTGTGGTTTCCTTATAAAAGTGATTTGTGCATTTCTGCGGGTGAAATAGTTGATGAATTGCTGAATAAATCTAGCAGGCTTAAAACCACACTCCTGTATGCCAAGTTCATTAGCGCCTGATCCAATCAGGGTTCAGTCATGTGTTTGTTGTCGTGTAATTCATTTTAACAGCTAAAATTGAGAGAGGCGCAAAGCCCCTGAAGAAAGTATTATAAACAAACTCTTCTATTGTAATAATTTTAGCTTTTACATTTTTATTTCCATTTTCCTTTGTAATTATTAAGCTCAATATTTCACTTTTCTGCAATATTACAGATTTCTATGAATCAATATTTTTTGGCCCTAGTTTAAGAACAAGGTTTCGCAGATTTTTTTTTTAACTTGGTGGTTTTTCAAAAATAATAATAATCGACATATTTTTTTATGCAACATTTTTCAATTTCAACCGTCAATTGGGCCCAATCAGTTCAGCAGTTTTGGAAACACACGAGTAAACATACATAGCAAATACAAATGTAAGAAAATAGGAATTGTAATCTCAATCCTTCATTAAAGAAATCCCTGAAGCATACATTTATACTTAGAGATACTTAGGAAAGGAAAAAAAGAAAGCATATTTGGTTATTTCTTTACAATATTTGTATACATACATGGTGTCCCACGAAACATGACAGTAGCAAGACGACTTGAAAGTCGTCTTAGAACTTTGAATTTATTTGGGACATTCAGTCTCAACCTACAATAACCACAAAATTCTCCTAGTCCTGGCATTCCTGGCATTTCCAAAATGTGGTCTGCCTTTTTTGTGCTATCTATAATACTCTCGTGCTTTCAAAAGACACCGGTATACATCTGAATATCCGAGCTGGGTCAACCTCTGCAGTCCTACTTTGGACTGTACCGCCGATTTACATTTACTAAAGCGCAGAGTAGTGTGTTACCATAGTGGGAAGTAAAAGAAAAAATAAACCACAAAATAAAAATTGGAATAAAATTGGAATAGAAAAACGACATTATAGCAATAATTAAGTGTTTTTGATGTTATTACAAATAAAATACTCATACTAGACACTAATTTAGTAAAATGGGTCTGTTTACACTGCAAAATTGCTGTGTCTCATGCTCATTGGACTTTTTAAAGTTATAACTTGATTCTAAAAGACGTCTTCATATTTCAGAGTTTTCTGGTTATCGCTGTAGTTGATGCAATAAACTAAAGCTAAATGATAATATTAGTATTATTGGAGAAAAAAAGCGTGGATTTTTAACCTTATGAAAAACTTCGATTTTGAAATTTCATTTTTTGCCACTCTCCAAAATTTTGCCATGGATAAAAGTATAGTTTTAAGTGTGCAGTGCAGTTCAAGATATGATAATAATGATTAGCTTAATAAATCAAAGAAAATATTCCATGGAAATAGTCCTTTAGAATTTCTACTATTGTGTTCATTCCTTGCATAATGGATATTAAAGGGATTGGTCGCGGAATTTTCTTCAACTCTGCTGTCTAAGACAGGCAATAAGCAATTATGTTGGAAATGGTTGAACCACGTCTTCTGAGCACCGGTTCAACTAAGCTCCGTAGTTCAACTGCACGCCTCGATAATGATTATTTTTGATCCTAACAATCATTAAAAGATTCTCATATTACTGATACAACTGTGTTACCTCGTACCTCCTCTAGGTATGGGAGTAGCAAAATTTTCCGGTTACATATAAGAAATTCAAAACATTTTTGTTCTTCTCAATAGCTCTTCAATGAAAGGAGATATGAATGATTAAGAACACACGGGCAGCCGTAGTACATTTGAATTTCCGAGCCGGGTCAACCTTTCCGGTCCCAGTTTGTACTGTACCTAGCTCTATGGACAGGACAATCCGGTGCAACAACGGTTGACGTGGTCAGACTTTATGCTTCATATAGGTTGAATTTACTTTTACTAAAGTGGCAGAGGTGCATGATACGTGCAATTTACTTTAGTTTGGCCTTTACCCACTACAAAATAATTTCAAATAAATATTTAACTCTGTAAAAACTAAAGAGTATCAAATGAATGTTGGGTGTATTCCCTTTAATTTTACATTAGGGGGAATACATAGAACTGGTGGTTGTGCATATATAATGTTGAATCTAAAGAATATGTTTAAAAATAAATGTTTTAAAGAGGCAGGATAACAGGCAATACATATTTTTGGAGTTTTTTCTAGTATTTTTTAAATGCTAAAATAGTTGAGAAGTTACATACACACAAGTAAATTGATTGAAATATAGTTTACAACTTTTCTTAATTTTTTTTATTTTTATTCCACGAAAGGTAAAAAAATAATACAGATTATGTACACGAAACCTTGATTTTTATTTTATTTTTACTGAAGAGATATCGATAACGATGTTGTAATTTTTAACTGTTACAATAAAATGATATATCTAAAAATATTCAGTGAACAGATGTAATGGAAAAGTGAAACATAGTTGAACTGCGGGGTCAAGTTGGAGAGAAGTGGTTCAACTAAGTTTACGTGGTTCAACTACAGAGATAACCAGAAAACTGTAGAACAGAAAGACGACGTTAAAGCAATACTCAAGTGCATTTAATGTTGTTAAATAGCACATAGCTTTAGTAGTTATAAAATCACTTATCAAGTAAAATTAAACTATTCATAATTTGAGACTAAAAGTCACCTTCCTGCTCTATTGTATTATGGTTATCACTGTATGTTTCGCTTTACATTAAAACTATACCCAGGACACTTTTTTATTAATAGTTGAAAATCACAAAATATTTAACGACATTTTTTAATCAAAACAAAGAGAAAACATAAATTTCATTTTTTTTCTCTGAACTCTTCTTGATAAGTTCCAAAGTTTATTTTTTACAGCTTTATCCTCTAACATTTTCTAATCTTAAATATTTTATTCAAGAGCTTGTACCTTTTATTTGAAGTAAAATAAAGGGGAAAGTTCAAAAAAAAACTTTGAAGAAATTTAATTAATTTAATAATTTACAGAAAAACTCTTTTAAACTTAAAGAATCTCTGGTCTTCAACCAGAGATCGATTATATCAGCTAAAATATGCGATATTTTCCACAGCATGTTTTATTGTGTTACAAGTACTGAACACAACCAATCAGCAAACATCTGTATTCACTATTTAGAGATATTTAAGGATCCTTTGGATACGAAACACAAAATCTTAAAAAAAAGACTGAATTCATAAATGTTATTTCATGTTTAAAATTGGAGTATTTCTTTAAAAGTTGTAAAACTTAACCCCTGAATGAGTATTATGTTCAACAAGTGGCCGTGAGATGGCACTCTATAAACCTATCGTAGAAACTTAGCATGTCGTGCCGGGTAAACTTAGGCCTACGTAGCCCAACCTGTGAAAGGAGATAAGCAGTCAGTGTAGTCTGTGTCTTCAACTAAAAATATGGTTAGTTGGATTGGAGTAGTAATGTCATAGTAAAACTAAAATAAATCGCGGATAAGATTTTAATTTTAAATGTTTTCAACCGTAACTCCTCTTATTTTTTAGAGCTATTGAGAAGAACCAAATGTTTAGTATTTCTAATTTTCTTTTCTCATACTTAAGTGTAAATTCAAAAGTCGTACAAAGTCGTACAAAGTCGTAAAAAGTCTTACAAAGTCGTACAAAGTCGTACAAAGTTACAAAGTCGTACAAAGTCGTACAAAGTAGTGCAAAGTCGTACAAAGTCGTACAAATATCGTATAAATTTTACCTTCATGCCTAGTTCGCAGTGGTTTGCTTAAATTGCTTAGTGACGCATTAGGACTGTTCCGGAACTAGTTTTACTGTTATAGGCACTGTAAGCGTAATTTCAACTGAATTTCCAAGCAGTTATAACAATGCCCGATTCACAAAGGTAAAAGCTTTTTCTGATCAATTATAGATTAGATATCTATAGTTTTTAAAAAACTAATTATTTTTAAGTATGGTCTCTCAGCAAAAGTTACGTGCGCATTTCCACTGCAGGAAAACATGTCGGAATTTTCAAAATTTAGCACATTAGAATTACGTCAACATTTTCCATATAACTGATCAGAAAAAGGTTTCTGTTGTGAATCGGCCATTGCGAACCTTGCATGAAAGGTTAAACTTTAGATTACAAAAAATTAAAACAAAGCTTAAAATTCCTTGAGTAGGGCGCGGCGTGTAGAAGAATTTTTCCAGAGGGGGGGGGGAGGACCCCTGGAAATGAAGTGTCAGAACCATGATTCCCTATATTTTTATTATATTATTGCAATTATTTTTATATTATACCTCATTGATTACATTCATCTGTAATCAAATAAACCTTTGATAGGAAAAAGTAAGTAAACATGGGTTACAGCTTTTTATAGCTTTTTATATCTATTTCAGAAATTTTGTAAAGAATTTTGTAAAGAACTTAAGAGCTTACAAAGGAAGTATTATTCGTTTCTTTGACTATTTCTGGCAGATTGCATATGTTTACAATATGGCGGTTTTTTCTTGAGCATTTCCAAACGTTAATAATTGGAGATTTTACATCAAATATACTGTTTACAGAAACCTTAAAGCAACATGAAAATATTACTGATCAATTTCATGTTATTGATAAAGTACTGTGTCATAAATATCCTGTATTATCTTCTATAATAATAATAATGTCTAAAATAACAACCATGTATCTCTTGTTGGAGGACAAAGAATTAGCCTTTATCAGATAATTTCGAGAAAACAAAATTTAAAGGGAGAGTTCCCAATTTTTAAACAAGGGGCCAAGGTGCAGGTAAGAATTATAGATATTCTTTAATAACGATATTTCTCACATGATGGATTCTATTAATACATTGTTTACAAAAGTCGAAAAACAAACTTTTAATAGTTTCGTGTTCATAACTTTTTTCAAATATTTAAAATAAAATAATTTAAAATGCAATATTGCAATATGGCAATAAAGAGCTTTTTAAAAAGAAAGAAAAAAAACTCTATTGTTTATAAACGAACCAAAGAACTATGCAAATATAAATGCTCACAGGCGGAAGTATAGACATATTTTCATATGAAATAATTAAAGGTCGTCATCAATAAATGAAGGAGAGCTTGCAAAGTTCTGTAGTCACGTGATTAGAAGACGGACCTGCAGACCAGACCAGACGTTCTCCGTGCCGTGTCATGTATCCTTCTTGTTGTGAATCCTGAAGTAATTTTATACTATATTGGATCAAAATTGACCGTTCATGAATGCCCTGTCGTCACGTGATGCAACGAACTGAACCGGTACAAAAGGTTCTCTGTATAGTGTATATACCATGTGTCCTCCTTGCTGTAAATCCTGAAGTAAGATAAGACCATAATGGATAAAAATTACCTTTTCTAATTGTCACTAAATGTCCTTGTTAGTTGATAAGAAAAAAGTAAATTGTCAGCTAGGGGACTATTTATCAGTTAGTTGATGAGAAAAAAGTAAATTATCAGCTTGGGGATTATTTATCAGTTAATTGATGAAAAAAAGTAAATTATCAGCTAGGGACTACTTATCAGTTTTTGTTTATATGTTTGTATTGTACAGTCTCCAAGGGCCTTAAGGGTGTTGTACGAACACTTGTTGTTGTTGTTGTGATATTAGTTTCATTATGACCAGGTAAAAATTAAACTTCTGAGAGAAAAAAGTGTGAAGTGTTTGGTTTTTCAACACCCTTAATATAGGTTTCTATGGGAAAATTTGCAGATTTGTTTATGATGACAAAAAAACTTTATTTGTCACAATTTTTAGATTGCCTTTTTATCTTTTTTCACGATTTTTTTCATTCTGATTTTTTTATTTTTGTGTTTTTTTATCTACTCTAATTTTCTCTAACTCACTTTAAAGTTGCATTTTTGCGAGTTTTCAGAATTTTTAACTTGGTCAATAAAAGAGAAAAATATTCGTAAATGTTTTTTAAATTAAAAGATATTTACTAGGATGTGGCTCCGATAACCCACATATATACAAAACAACCGTTCCACCGTTTTTTAGATATAAATCTTCAAGATTAAAGAAACTGAGATATTGCCACAAATTCTGATTTGCTAATCCCATAGAGAATAGAATATATAGAGGGGAATTTACTAGAAAAAAGTGTAAAACGGCCATTTTGTTGTACTGTTTCCATACTGCAGGTGTACTTCGCATATT